TCCAGAGGAGGTCACTAGTCTTTGCATCGGTGGCACCAGCCATTTTAGCCAACGTGATATTCCATTTTAAGATAAAACCTCTTTTCACCTACACTCTAGTATTCGTCTCCTTTTTTATGTTGCGGCTTTTGAGCTGGGTCATAACACATGGTACAAATGATTGAAGCAGGTTTAAATTGTACGACTTAAAAAATTCTGCACAGGTATACATGTGAAAATAGATTATACATATGATTTACAATGATGAGTACTTTCAAATTATATACATTTCTTATTATTTTGACAATTGTAGCAGTTAAGTAAAGGTTGTTGTTTTTTTTGTCTTGCTTTGTTTTAACTGCTCCTGTCATATTTCCTGCCAGGTCCTCAAGATGACCTTTACTCTGACATTGTAATCGCATTGTCTTTCCTTTGGTTGGAATGGATGACCATGAACAGGCTGGTAAACGTGTCTCAAAACTTCTACATTTCACTCATATGAAGCAATTTTCATCTCTGGCTAAATTTGACTGTTTTTCAGATTAATGTGTGATATTTAATAATGGTAATTATGTATAAATTTGATTTGAATGATTCACACTAACAGCTACATTATTCTCCCATTTGTCATAAATCTGTATTTCAGTAGTTATTATTGCATAAACTGAAACATTAACCACAAGGATTAAATTATGGAAAATGTCATTTTGGATGGCACTGACATGTTTGTGTGTATCTGTCTGTGTGTGCAGGTACAACTTCAAGCCAGGACACAGACTGTACAAATTGTTGCATCTGTTGCAGTTTTAACACATTTCTGCGACACTGCTGTGATTCTTTATGCATTTCACCTGCTGCTTTTTGTGAATTATGCTTGTCATTTGCCTGTGACACATGCCTGGACTAATTTCTCAGCTCTTTATTTTAAGTTAGGACATCCCAGAACTATAAAGTTTTGACTCTTTGGCTATTATGGAGATTACGCCTACTGTGCACTTTTCCATTGCTTTCAAGAAGACAACATATTGCTGACTTTCCCTATACTGTGCCCATTTTTTCCTTTATCCTATATATTGTTTAGGTGATGTCTGTTACTTTCAAAATTACTTTCTAAACCGGGATGTTAGTGTGAAGTGAATGGCTGTCTCTTTTGCCTGTGACCTGCTTGCAATAAATTACCAAAAAACGGAAAACAAATGATCTCTTTTTAAATAGATTGTTCATGTAACAATACTATAAAGCACATAGTCAAGGTGGTTTCACACTGAAAGTGCCATTCATTCATTTATTCACAAAGACTCTAAGATTTAATGCTTATTTATTATTATTATTGTTATTATTATTATTATTATTATTACATTTTACATTCCAAGTGGAATGTAAAACAAAGTGTCAGGAGAGAAAACCATTGACTAAGCCTCCAGATAAATTAACTGTGCAGTCAAAGGAATTTATTTTACAATATCAAACTGGTCCCACAAATTTGTCACTTTTATCTTATCTCTCCTAAATTCATCTAGCAAAAACAGCACTAATCCAGCAGCCATTCACTTTTCAGTGGCGAAATGGCAAGGGGTACCTGCTGCTGGAGCTACACATGAGGTTCCTCAAATGATCAGAATGCTGTTGAGTTTTGGCAATCAGGTGTGGGAGACCTAGAACGATCATGATTACCGGTATGATCAGTATACTTCTACTGGGTCAGCACTGGAACATACATAAAGAAAAGAAAACTCACTTGTGGCTATAGGTGGCTCTTTCCTCCTTGCTTGCTAAGGATTATTTGGTACATGTGTTGTGCTGTCCTGGAGCATTTAATTTGTTTGTGCAAAGTTTGTGGTGGGAGTAAGAGGACTAGGTAAGTCTGGGGGACCCTGTACATTTCCACACGTAGGATGTTTTCTGTTAAATACTCTAGGTTAGGAGGTTGGGGCCACACATACAATACAATTTTATTTATATAGGACATTTAAAAACCAGAGGTACGCCGAAGTGCTTCACAGAATCAATTAAGAGCAATAAGAGATACACATACAAACATACTGACAAGTAGGTGGGAGACATAACTATCCAATATACAGTAGGCACAAGCCAAAAGGCTGAAGGTTAAATCATTATAAATGATTTAACCTTCAGCCAATAAAATACAGTAAAATACGATAAAATACAGTACCCTTACAAATGCGGGCTGTAGGAAGCCGGGAAGGCTAGGCTAAATTAACATATTTTAATCAAGATTTAAAAGACTGAATTGAATCAGACGTGCGAACAGCTCAAGGTAGATATTTCCAGGTATACCTCTGGTCTTAAGCTGTGATCTCGTTCGCGCCAAGAGCATTTGGCCTGCTGATGTAAGCACTCTCCCGAGGATATAAAAGCTGAGGAGATCAATAAGATAGCTGGAGACGGTATGTTTATGATTTTAAAAGTGAACAATAAGATTTTAAAATCAATGCAATATTTAATGGTTAGCCAGTGTCGGTCGGAGAGAACTGGAGTAACAGACCAGTAACGTACCAGTCCCAGTTAAGAGACGTGCAGCAGCAATTTTGAACGAGCTGCAGTCTGTGAACATGGGCAGACTGGAGACCAGTATAAAGGGAAATAGAGTAATCTAATCTAGATGTAACAAAGGCATGAATACGTTTTTGAAGGTCCTTATGTGGTATGTAGGGCTTGGCCATAGAGATTAGACATAATTGAAAGAAACTAGATTTAACTACAGAGGACAAATGTTTGTCCAGTTTGAAGGGACTGTCCAAGACAATACCCAAGTTCCTCACAGCAAATGCCCTAAATATATCGGTGAGTTTAGCCTGACCAATGGGACTATCGAAGATTACAATTTCCGTCTTCTTATCATTGAGAATGAAATAATTGCTCAGTATCCAAAAGTGTTGCAATGATGATATGACATCCTCAGCCAGTTCAAAATAGATTTGAATGTCATAAAAATGAAAAGAAATACTGTATTTTTCAAACATTTGGCCCAAGGGTAACAAGTATAAAGAGAACAGCATAGGACCCAGCACAGACCCCAGACTGAAGTTTTTCCTCGATGTTGTTTGCATCCAAATAAGTTTGAAGTTGTATTGTTTGTGAGTTGAGGATTGGGGCATTTTTCTTTGTCTTTGTTTTCCTCCTTAGTAAAGCTTAGCTACGTTCTGGTTTTGTGTTACTCCTCCTGCCAGCTAGAGGGGTGTAAGATTAGTAATTCCCAATTGTATTATGCCTAGGTGGATGGGAGTAAATATATGTGACTGTGTGAACATTGTTTAGTTATACCTGACAATGGCTACTATAATTCTGTAAAAAACTAATTTTTTAAACCAATCTTTTCTCCTGGCATTGATTCAGATGTCCACAACTTTCTAAATTACCAGTTTTGATACATATCAGAAAGTTACACAAGTAACACAATATATCAGATTAATTGTTCATTACTTGTTTCATCTGAAAAAAAAAATACAATGGATAATGTTCATCTTGGTCTTTAGAAAGACTAGCTGGTAACTGTCATGATCCCTGTGTCTGCCCAGCCGGCTCAAATAGGCTACAGGTATTTATTTGTTATTGTTTTTCTCCCCCACTCTCTCTCTCCTGTCTCTTTCTCACCTGGGGTCCGTTCTTCGTACCTCGCTAAGTAGGTTAGCTGGATTTGATTGTTGACGATTTCGCGTGATCTTGGATCGTTCGGTTCCCCGAAGCTCATCCGGGACTTGCTGTCATAGCAACAGAGCCGTAAGCGTAAACCTGCTCGGGAGCAGGTTTACTTTATGTAAACAGGATTAGATCGCGGCCACGCAG